CCCAAATGTCCTTTGAGTCCTAGTGTGGTGCTGTAGAAGCACTGGACTTGCTAACCACACTAACCTCAAGGTTGGCAGTTCAAACTCACCAACCGCTTGTGGAAACCCTATACAGGGTCACTAATTCATCTGAACTGACTCAAGGGCACACAAAAATAGCAACAAGAAGTCCTTTGACTTCCCTGGCCTAGTTCCCCTCCTTTAGTACAGAGCCCCAATCTTGCTCTGGTGGAAGCTAGAAGGAACATATGACTATGATGGTCCCTCTTCCAACTCCAACACAGTTTGTCTCAGATCTCAGTGCCCTGAAATAAAGACTTCTCAGGCAAATAATGCACTTGAACTTGGTGAATAGTAGGAGTCCTCTTGTCATTGATCTCTCCCCACTCCCACACCACCACTACTTCCCTTGCATGATGCTGAAAGCCAAATCATCAGCTCTCCTTTAGTAACTTTGTAGGACTCTATGCCTACCTGCAAGCTCATTTTTTTCCTCTGGTTTCCTTTGGCTGTTTTTCCCTCCCTCTTTATCACAGCCCTGTTTTATCCTTCCCTGTTTGTTTGTTCATCTCTCTCAAATGATTTGTATCTTTAGAAGACCTTGTGATGACGAGATAAAGTTTTAACCAAGAAACCTCCCTGCAAAATAGTACATAAATACATCCCCACTCGGGAAATCCAATGTTGTCTCTATCCCACCCATATAGCTTACTGCAGGACCAAAAAGTAAAACTCAGCACTGCTCTCCTAACGCTGGGCCACCCAGGAATGACCTATGATGTGCATTTATGACACGAAGACACACTGAGGACTACAGAGCGTTTCTTTTCCACATTCTGTTCACCAACTCTAAAACACACACCAGCACTTGTGTGAATGGCATAATACGGCATAAAGCAGAATGGTATAATAAATAAGAGCCCAGACTCCAGAGGCAGTTCTAATCCTGCTCTCCCCACTACTTCTCAGCAGTGGCTGACCTTGGACAAGTTCATTTCCCTGTGCCTTGCCTTCATTTCTCCATGGTACAAAATGTCAATGTGCTTGACTGCTAACTGGAAGGTTAGATCTTCAAGTGCATCCAGGTACCTCAGAAGAAAAGTCTGATGATCAATGAGGAAACTTCAAAAAGTGTAAGGAACACAGAGTAGACAGGGATGGGAAACTTGGACATTGCCTACCCAAAATGGAGGGGGGAGGCTACAAAGGCAAGAAGTGAATGGCTTACAAGCTTTCAAGAGGGAGCCTAGATGCAGAGGGCACAGGGGAAGGTAGAATCTTCACTGAGTAGGATCCAATCTATCTGGGCGGGGCTGATGAAAGGAGATGGGATAGGTCTCTTGTGATACAATAGTGAATAATTGTTATCAGGACTGACTGTGAAGGTTGAAAATGTAAAGGTAGACATTTATAGCAAAAGGATGGGAGTGATTGACTTTGCAGTCTAGGAGCGGAGGTCCCTGGGACCATCAAGGGAGAAGAGCCGAGGGTGGGACCCTACCCAGAGAAACAGTGACGCCAGAGATGGAGGCAGAGAAGCTGACGTGGAGAGAAGGAACAGCTGGGGACTTTAGACCCAGAGAGGGAGAGGGGCTGTGTGCTGACTAAAGGGGGATAGGCTTGCAGGGTATACCCTTTGGTTGGTTGATGATGCATGGAGGGGACTGTAACCATGGCAAAGAAACAATATACGATAGGATGAATGTAAAGCTAATGTTCTCCCATGTAAACTATAACATAATTCACAATAAAACATTAAAAAAAACTAATTGAAAAAAAAAAATGGAATTAAGAGCTAATTCCATTTTTCCATGATCTTTTTGAAGCCCCCACATACTTCGAAAAACTTAGTCACTGAAATCCCTATGGAGCACAGTTACATTCTGACGCACACGAAGTCACTATGACTCGGAACTGACAGGACAAGCAATAAAAAATAAAAAAAAGAAAGAAAAATGGTGTCTTAAGAGTTTTTTGAGGAATAAATGACTTAATGTAGGTCAAAGTGGTTAGCTCATGCTAATTTAGTGTGGATCATTATTATAGAACAGTCAGCCCACATAAAGATCCAAATCTGATTGAAAGTACTCTCTGAAAATGAGCAAGGTGACAAACTGATTTCTGCAGTGCTGATCTAATTGGAGTTTGGATCTCATTTACAAAATGGCGTGGAGTCAAAGTTCCCTCTAAAACGAGTCTCATTCACCTGGTTGCTTTCTGGCTTACAGAGTAAGAGAAAGCTCTGGTGTCAGACAATTGGAATGGTACTTGGGAGTGTGTATCCCCAGATGAACAAGGGATGATCCCTAAGCCACACCCATGCATAAATATTCTGCATACACATATACATATAATTGTAGATGACATCTTTCTAGATACAGCACCTCTCCCCTGCAAAAAATAGTTGCTGTCAAACTGACCCCAACTCATGACAGCCTCATCTGTGTTAGAGCATAACTGTGCCCTAGAGAATTTTCCAGGCTGATTTTTTTGTAAGCAAATTTGTTGTTGTTGTTGTTGTTGTCAAGTGCCACAGAGTCAGAACCGACTCATAGAGACCCCATGCACAGCAGAACGAAACAATGTCCGATCCTGGGCCAACCTCACTACCGCTGCCACACTTGGGTCCATCAAAGATGCCACCTGGCCAATCCATCTCGTTAGGGGTCTTCCTCTTTTTCTCTGACCCTCCACCTTACCCAGCATGACATCCTTCTCCAGAGACTGTTTCCTCGGGACAATATGTCCAAAGTATGAGAGACAAAGCTTAGCCATCCTGGCCTCCAAGGAGTACTCTGCACTTCTTCCAAAACAGATCTATTACCAGACCTTTATTCTAGGGTACCTTTGGGTGTCTAGGAATATGAAGAACAGCTATTCATGACATTCTCTAAAATACTTTGTTTGCTGTTGTTGTTAAGGGCTGTCGAGTCAGTTCCAGCTCACAGTGACCCTGTATAAGATTTCCAAGGAGCAGCTGGTGGGTTTGAACTGTCAACCTTGTGGTTAGCAATCCAGTACTTATCCTACAGCGCCACACCAGGACTAAGCCGTTAAAAAAACAAAAAACCTCTGCTTTATAGAATACCTGAGTTTTTAGAACGCTACCACCTCATATATATGTACTCAAAATGCAATGATCAGATTTTGTATCCAACAGAAACCAACTCCAGGCACAACCCACCTCTGTTCACCCATACCCACTGTCAAGACTTGAGCAGCTTCCTTCATACTCAAACCACCAAAATTTAAATCTCTAGTAAATGACTTTTTCGTCTATGTGTGTGGTGATGGTTGTGTATCACTGAGTTGGTTCCAACTCAGAGAGACCCTGTATAGGGTTTCCGAGGCTGTAAATCTTTACGGGAGCAGAAAGCCTCATCCTTTTCAGGCAGAGAGGCTAGTAGATTCAAAATATTGACCTTGTAGTTAGCAGCCCAACTCATAATCCACTATGCTACCAAGGCTTCTTATCTATGTGAGTAGGTACATAACTTCTATTTAAAAGACTCAATACATCTATGGCATGGTGGCAAACAACATCTGAACGACCATGAAAGTTATGATACTCAACCAATGCTTTGAAAAGTGTTTCAAAAAACTATTCCTTGAAAGTCTACTTTTGACAATGAAAGTTACTTGAAAATCTGATGTAAATGAATTAAGTTTCAGCCTTTGCTATAATGAAGTTGCATGAGAAATGTAAGAAAAACCTGAGACTATATTGGAGTCATTTATCTTGCATTTCCCTCGTTTCCCATAATTACCTACTGGAAAGAAAGCACCGAAGATTTCATTTTGTTAGAGCATGAAATTGAAACAACTTATACCCTTTTAATTTCTCATTTCTCCATATTACAGAAAATATTCTAGATCACAAAAAATAAACTAGGAACCAAACCGAAAATCCACTGTCACCCAGTCTGTTCTGACTCATACCGACCCTGTAAGAGTAGAACGGCTTCCATGAGGTTTCCAAGGCTGTAAAATTATCCCCAAGCGGAATGCTACATCATTCTCCCATAGAGTGGCTGGTGAATTCGAAATGGCCACCTTTAGGTTAGCACTTGAATGCTTAACCACTGCGCCACCATGGCTCCCTCTTCTAAGAACAGTGGAAATTTACCAAGGACCATCAGTCAAGACTCATATGGATTTGTTTTAAGTTTTGTCGTTTTTGGTTTCTTGGTCAAGAAAATTGCTTTGGGAAATGCAGTAATTTCCCAACTCACTACTGTATCTAGTGGAATTCCGACACAGTGAGCCTATAGGGCAGACAAGAACTGCTCCTGACGGTTTCTGACGCTGTAAATCTTATGGGAGCAGACAGTCTCATCAGCAATCTCAACCCCTGCAAATTCACCACGTGAACTGCGATGATAAAGTGACATTTGCGAATAGTACACTATTATCCGAGATTACTCGTCCGCAGCCTAGATTCTTCCAGCCATGAGCACCGGTAGAGAGCCTGCAAAATTCTTTGCCAAGATCCCAAGTCAATTTCAAACGCAGCTCCTTTCAAAAGTCCCCAAGGAGCCTCGCTCACCCACCCCACCCTGCAAACAGCGCACTTCCTGTTCTCTGGGGCCCGGACAAGAACTCTAACTTGACAGTGACACACACTGAAAAAAAGAGGAAGTCGCAAAAAGGGCCATTTCAAGCAATATTTATTTGTTTTAGAAAACGAGATCAATAGCTCTGTCTTCCAGAAAAGCTTCAATGGGACGTAACCACCACGCATGCTGTAAAGTTACAGCGAATGACAATGTTGCAAAACCGAAGGCGACTCCTTTTTTAAAATGAAAAGAAAGCCATTAAAATCCTTTTGCTATCAAAAAAGATCTAGCCCTTGTAGCGAACGCCACAAAGGTAGCAACTCCTATCCTGGTGAGTCCGATGTCGAAAGCGACACTCTGGGTCGGGGACGTGACAAGTCTGTCCTGCCAAGTGGCAGAGGAAGCGCAGAGGCGTCCAGGGGACAGCGAGCACCTTTTCCTTACCTGGTTTGACTGGTTTGGGTGGTGGCTTCGACATCTCGCTTCCTGGAGCGGCTAATCCTAAAGACCACGCACAAAAAGTCAACTAAACGTCCCGCCAGCCGACACTCCTGGCGCCCCAAAGTTTCTTTTTGTCTGGTTTGCTGTCTTCAAGAATCTGTGCCCACCCTTGGCTGCACGAAAAGCGGGCGCAGGCAGAGCTGCTCCTCCGAGTACCCTGCCCCGCCTCGCGGCCGCCGGAGTCTTCTAGAGCTCGCGGCCCTGCCTACGAGGAAGTGGCTGCCGCCTTGCAGAGCGCTAATTGGCTCCCGGAATGGCAGCAGGCGCGCGGGCGGCGCGCAGCGCGGCGGAACCAGCGAAGTCGAACGAGGGGACCCGAAGCAAGGCCAGAGTGGCCCGGAGCACGCGCGCCGCTGACGGGAGAGGGCCGGCCCCATGCGGGATCGCGCGCGCCAGGCAACGCTTGCCGAAACTCCGCCCCCATGGGGGGGCTGAACCCGGGCCAGGCGTGTCGCGGGAGCAAGATGTAATCTCTGGTGCCTAACTCTACCTGCACCACTCCCCCCCCACCAACCCCCCAGTAACCTGGGAGAGCCGTGGGAAGAAGGGTTGTGGATCTCTCAGTTAGCAAACTGCGGGTAGTGGTGAGTTTGTGTCAAGCGCGCACTTGGTAATCGCCTCCGCTGTTTAACTCAAACTGGAACCTGGTAAGTATCTATTTGACCCCGCCACGCCGAACCGCTTAGCGCCTACTTGCTAGAGCTTGGAGATATTTCCGAAGTGTTTTTGCGCTGGAGCCACGTTGGGTCTTGCAAGCCCTTCTGGGACTTTTACCACCCTAAAAGGCCTAATGAATATCCTGCCCAGGAGGACGTTTATTCATGATGGCTTAGTGTTCTGTTGATAAATGCCGTGGAGTTGGTTCCGAATCATAACTACCCTGTATAGGGTTTCCTAGGTGCAGCTGGTGGGTTTGAACTCTCGATCTTGTGGTTAGAATTCTAGTAGTGATCCTACAGCGCCACATCAAGACTACCCAGAAGTTGTTGTTGTTAACTGCCGTCGAGTCGTTAACGACCCAGAGCGACCCTGTATACGCTTTGAAAGGAGGGCCTGGTGAGCTTGAACCAACGACCTTGAAGTTCATGCCGGCTTTGCTGTCCAGCGCATTAGCTCACAGAGCCACAACATGATTCCCAGGGCTACTTTTGTTGTTGTTGTAAGTGCCGTCTAGTCGGTTCCGACCCATAGAGACCCTGTATAGAGTTTCCAAGGAGCGGCTGGTGACTTCAACCCAGCACATTAACGCACCGAGCCACACCAGGAGTCCCTGGAGTCCTAAGGCCCCATAGTAATCCTTTAGATGGGAGTGTTTACAGCCAAGAGGCCACATTCGTAGTTGAGAGAAGTTTTTAAGGATGGTGTCAGATTTAATTCCGCGGGTGCAGAGTCTAATTTCTCTAGCACTGGAGTTGATCAACTAGGGCCCTAATCTAGGGCTTTACAGAAAGTTTGAAGAGCCCTCACCTAAAAGATTAAATCTTCATTGGAGGAAAGACAGAACCATATAAGGAAGGCAATCTGCATATATATATTTGGGGAAAGAAAAATGGAAAATAAACAACTGTTTACATCAGAACCTACATAAAAGGAAGTGCCAAATTTCTAATTATTGTTAGGTGCTGTCGAGTCAGTTCCGACTTATAGTGATCCTACATAGGGTTTCCGAGGAGGATTTGAACCGTCGACCTTGGGGTTCAAACCGACCTTGAGGTCCGGTGCTTATTCTACAGCAGACTAGTGAAAGATACATGACGCAACATTGGATGATTTCCATGTTTATCGAAAGGGAGCAAAGTGTAAAGGATAGTAGGAAAACACTGCCGTATCTCATGGAAGAATATAATTTTTAAAATCTGTTGAATAAAATAAATGTGTAAAGAAATGTGAAACTATTTCAGGCTTGTTAAAAATAGCTCTTTCCAGGCATATGAGAATTATAACATTTGTTCCCAAATTATCTTCTTTCTTAAGACCATTTATATTAGAAAGTTTCTGTCATCTTTATAGTCTGGTGATTCTGGAAATGCCATGCCTGACTGTTCTGTAATTTAGAATCCAAAATGTTTTAAATAGTATAAGCACATACCCTTGATGAATAGGGGGCACTGGTGGTTCACTGGTAAAATGTTGCCTACCATGTGGAAGACCCTTGCTGGATTTCTGGCTAATACGCCTCATATGGAGGTACTTATCTGTCACTAGGAACTTGTGTTTTGCTATGGCGTTTAATAGAGTTCCGGTGCTGAACTGTGGGTGAATGCGCTGAACTGCAAAGTCCGTTTAGTCTACAAGGTTGGCGGTTCAAGCTCACCAGTTGCCCCTCGGAACCCTATACAGTATCGCTGGGTTAGAACCTACTTGATGGTACTTAAACAACAACCACAGTGGTGTTTAACAGGCTTTGAGCAAATTTCCAGACTAATGTGGCTAAGGAAAAAGGTCTTGTGATGCTCTTATGAAGCTTCACCAGTGAAAAGCCTAGTAATCACAGTGGCCCCATCCTTATCCAATCATGGGGACTGTGCAGGACCAGGTAAATGGTTCTCTTGTGCACTGGGTCACCATAGGTCGGGAGCACACTTGATGGCAGCTAATAATTATGAAAAAAGGACTCACTGGCCTATTTTTGTTGTTGTTAAGTGCCTTCAAGGTGGTTCTGACTCATAGCGACCCTGTATAGGGTTTCCGAGAAGTAGAGAGTGGGTTTGAATTACGACCTTGTGGTTCAAAGTTCAGAGCTGCTTCTACAGAGCCGCGGCATATTTTATGTAGAGGTTTTTTTTTTTTTTAATGTAAAAAAAATTATTTAAGTTTGCTCTTGAATATCCCATGCTACTACTGTACTTTGCTATTACGGGAAGCTTTACACACCTTGGAAAACGAAATGACATAAATATTTTGCAAAATTGAAGGTGGCATATATTCCTAGTGAAAGGTGAAAGTCTGCCCTGGATTAATGAGGCTGCAAAGTTCAAGCGGTTTTCTCTCAAGAGATACCAAATTATTTAGTTTATAGTTGATACAAGTGTGAGATCAAGTTGGTAAAGTCAGCTACTGCTTACATTTGGGACCTAACACCTTCTTTTAGTTTTACCATTTCTACGTGTACCATTTAGTGACATTGATCACATTCTTCCAGTTGTGTAATCGTTCTCTGTTTTTCTGAGCTGTTCCTCCCCCATTAGCATACATTCACTGTCCCTTAAAGTCCCTATCTATCTTTCTGGTTGCTGTTGTCTATTTGATCCCATATAGATAGTCCTTAAAAGAACAAAATACATAAACAGGCATTTTTTATTAGTTAAGCAAAGCTCTTTTGGCTTTAAGAAGGCTTCAGGGAATATTTTTGGTTTAAAGGTTTTAAGATTATCTTGGGGCAATAGTTTCAGTTTGTCCAACCTTTATGGATCTAGGAAATCTGGATTCCATGAGAATTTGACATTCTTTTCTGCATTTTCACCCTTTTGATCATTACTCTTCTGTAGAACCTTTGATGTAAGTGTTCAGTAATGATACCCGGACAACAAAGATCCAATTCTTCAGGTCCCATGGCAAAGGAGGAAGTTGTTCATGACAGAACTTCATACCAGTTCATTCCTTGGACACCCAGCCTAGAATTTGCATATGTTGAATCAGAATCTACATTTTCACACAATTCTAGGGTGATTTTTATGTATAAGAATCATCTGGGGATCTGATAAAAAGGAGATTCTAGTCCAGTGTGGAGTCCTGGTGTGGCACTGTAGGATAAGCATTGGAATGCTAACCACAAATTCAAATCCACCAGTCCCTCCTGGGAAACCTCATACAGGGTCTCTCTGAATCGGAACTGACTCAGTGACACTTCACAGCAACAAAAGTTCAGTATATCTGGGGTTGTTGTTGTTAAGTGCCATCCAGTCAGTTCTGACTCATAGGGACCTTGTATAGGGTTTCTGAGGAGAGTCTGGTGAGTTTGTATCAGTTTAGACCGATCTCCAGGTCTAGTGCTTATCCTATGGTGCCACACCAGGATTCCAATATCTGGGGTGTAAATACAAATTATCAACAGGGAGTCAAGCTGGAATGAACCATTCCAAGCCCTGATTCATCAAGGCAATTAACCACACCTTCCTTATCCTCCTCCTGTGACTGACCCTCCTCCTTCCTCTGTTGCTCCAGGCAGGAGAGACCAGTTGTTGTGCCCTCCTGGATGGCCTTTGGCAGGCTCTGTAAACTCCAGGCAACACTCACTGAACTAACTAGTCATTAGAACAGAAACACTAAACACATTATTGGACCAGTTAACAGAGATGCGCCATGAAACCGTGATTTTAGACCACCAAACCAAGAAACCAAATTCCATGAGGTTTTCAGTTGTACATAAACAGCTACAGCCGCTACATGTTTTTGTTGTGGTTGTTGTAAATATCTATCACACAACTTTTGCCAATTCAACTTTTTACAGATGTATAATTTATTAACAGCAATTAGAATAATCAGCTGTGTAGCCTTACCCTTAATCACTGCAATATTTCCATCACTATTAACCTCCCCCAATTCCCTCCTCTTTCCTGCCTCAGGTAAACAGTAAACATTGGACTTATTACACTTGTCTTTTCCTGTCTTTTATATAAGTGAGGTCATATAATATTTGTCCTTTTGTAATTAACTTAATTTGCTCAGCATATTGTCTTCCAGTTCCATGCATATTGTAATATGTATCAAGACTTCAAGAAAGCCTTGTGAGGCAGTGGTTAAAGCACTCAGTTGCTGTGTGGAAGGTCATCTGTTTAAACCTACCAATAACTCCATGAGAGAACCACGTGGCAATCTGCTTTTGTAAAGATTTAGAGTCTTGAAACCCCTAATGGGCATCTCTTATCCCTTCTATGGTGTAGCTATCAGTCAGAATCTACTCGAAGATAGTGGATTTTGGGGTTGGTAACAAGACTTCATTTCTTCTACAAGCTGAGTTGTTTTTGTTAAGTGCCGTTGAGTCAGTTCCGACCCATAGCAACCCTGCTTAAGGTTTCCGAAGAGCAGCTGGTGAGCTTGAACCGCCAACCTTGCAGTTTAAACAGCTTTGCAGTCTGGTGCATTAACCCACAGCGCCACACCAGGACTCCACAAGCTGAGTATTATTCCACTATATATATGTACCACATGT